TTTTTTTTTAGCTACTTGTGTGTTATAATCACCAACCAACAGTACTAAGTGATTGGTTAAGAACCTCAATTCCCATGGAAAGGCAATACCTACCGACTGCATCCAAGCGTAAAATGCACCTCAAAATCTCCCGCTCTATTACCTTGCCCCCCTAGAGTGAAACACAGTAGCTCCATTCCCCAGCTGATCTGCAACAAGAGCTAATGAGCTCAGCGGCTCTACACAACACGGCCGGGAAATCGAAACAGCCTGTGTGAGAGAGAGAGACGTGTAAATGAGAGTGATCTCCCTAGACGATCTGCTGGACAAAGGCAGGCATATGGAGATATTTACCAAGCAGGTCAGCCAGTGTGAATCAAGCCCCAGGGATCTACAGGGGATGCTAATTACAAGACTCCAAATAATTAAAATGCACATGTGATGTTCTTTATGTAAATGCTACAGGGAAACTGACAGGCCAGCTTGCAGGCTGCACATTTTAGCCATGACACATCTGTTGATATCCAAGCATGTTATACAGCATGAATGCCTGATATATAAGATGAATAATTTGGAATCGGTTGTATTGATAAGCGAAACGACACTGATACATACAACATAAAATTAATATTTGGAGGTGTAAGATTTCAAAAGACACACTGGCCAAGATTGATACTGCTTTCTGCCACTTTAACGCCGCCGTCGATTCAAAAAACAGTTTTTCCTTCACTCTCATCTGTTTTCTTGCGCCCAAATCCTTGTTTCACCTGGCAGTGACTGATGGAGTTCAGCTGTGCGACTTGTGAAAAAGAGGACAAAAACGAAAAGTCTTTTGCAACACAAGCTCTCGAGCTATTAAAAATTACTGAGCTTTTCATGTGCCGATATGGAGAATGAAAAATAGGCACGCTGCTTCAGCCCCTCAGACTGAAACCTCAGGGGGTTCCAGTCTGAGTAAGCAAAGGGACAGCTTGTGTGAGTTCAACAAAACCAAATAAAAACGTGTCAGTACGCTTATATGCACACTTCTAACAAACCACCTGGAGTCTGTCAATACTGCTTCTCTTTGTAGCATCAAAGCGCGAGCATATATGAAACCTTACGTGTCAAATTCGGTGATTAAATCGATAGGAAAACGAATCTTCTGTTGCTTTGGACCAAATGGTTTATAAATCCTACAGCGATCCCCTAAGTAAGCACAAGAATTCATGAATGCTAAACACATTTCTCCGCTAACAAAGGAGTAGCTTTGATACTAGAACCCCTCTTGTACTTGTAGGACAAGACTGCTGAACTGACAGTTTCCCTTTAAATATGAATATCAAATAAAGCTCTACTTTTTGATACGGTGTGATAATGCCAGAGCTCAGATTTAGCGTACAACCCACTATATCTTAAACAATTAGAATAAGCTTGAGAGCAATGCTGTTGTAATTTGTTGGACTAAATCCTCGGGGAGAGTTGAGAGCGTTTACTGTGAGTTCAGAGAACACATTGCACAGTTAAGGCTAAAATCCTTGCTCCGAGCAAGAACACAAACACTGATATGTTCTCAAGGCTGACACCAATAGGGCTTAATGCCAAGCATCTTATCGGGATGGTCAAACAGACCTTGAGAGCATGTGTGCTGGAGAACAACAGATCGTCTTGCCGACTAAACCCCAGACTTTGTCACAGTCACACGTGGTAGCACCACAATGCCCATTTGCTTTGATGATATTGGCTTTAGCGTAGAAGGAACTGCGCTTATGATCCTTAACCGCACAACCCAATACTGCGTTAATCTGCCTGAAACTCCCCCCTGCAGCTCAGACTCTTCTAATCCTTTATAAGGAAGAGAAGCCAGATGGTCGCGAACAACTGCTGGGGGGCCTGAGGATGAGCGAATGTATGGAGATGTCTGGAGTGCCTGTCACTGTTTACCTTGTGTTTTAAGTTACTAGCGTAAGCTCCGTGAAGTGGCCTGTGTGTGTGCACGGCAAATGTGCTCATGCACAGTTAAAAAGAAGAGACCCCCGCTGCACCTGGTGTCAGGTTACCGCAGCTTGCAGTTCCCCTTTCAGTCCTGAGACGAGATGTCAGAACTTAAGAGGCACGCCGCTCTACCAGCTTCGGTAACCGTACGATTCCTGGAGTGTCAGATGCAGAGTGGCACAGTCCCAGGGGTCTCGAGATACATCATGCCTCTCACCCTCGCCCCTCCGTTCTCTCGTACTCGGGCACCCCTTTTCTGACCCTTCAGTGACAAGTGAACCTTTTATTTACAGCGCCACTAACCTTCAAATTGGTGCAGCCTGAAAATCCGGAGTGCCAGTCAAGTAAGCTGTCACGTGGAGCTACACTGAGACTTGCAGCCACATGCTGCATCCTCACTCCCACCCTTCTCCCATGAGACACTGATTAAACTCCTATTAAAATGATTGTGTAGTAGGAGGAAAACAAGAGTATCAATCTGCCGCAGCAATAGATGGAATGTGCATGGTGGGCATTCATTAAGTGAACATTATCAGAGTAAAAATTAAATTATTTTGCAGCAGGGTATAAGTTGTGCTGAGAAAGTTCCACACTTAAGTTCTCTCTCTCTCACACACTCACACTCTTATGGTCACACATAAAGAGGACGCTCCACTCGCACTGAAGAGACTGCATTTACAGCTCTCTATCTTTTACACGCTTTTACAGTCACTATAATGCATCAAGGTCAACAAGCTAAGTTTCACATGAATCTAAGTCTAGTTTTCACCCACTTGTTAATGCAAAAGCTGATTATTAGTAGCAAGGTTTGTTTGCAGAGCACAAAGTGTCCCTGGAAGAAACCTGGCAGATTAACACTTTCATTCATGCTTTTGTTTCATTCATTTCTCCTGTGATGAGCATAAGGACCAAGTGGATATGGCCTCAGCTAAGCTGACCTTTACTCATGTACTCAGGCAGCTTTTGATCTATCATTTGAGATGAGCAGGCTGGAACTGACATACAGCTGACATAGCCATTGTGTCAATGTGAAGTCAAATACAGCTTTGAAATATAATATCCAAGTAAAAGGTCCAAGAAAAGCACTGCAGATTCACAAAAACTATTATTATAAACGTGACTTCTCATGTCTGATATTGGTTTATACAAATCTGCATATAAACACATATGTTGATCAGGAAAGCGATGAGTTATGTATAGCCTCTTTGGTAATATAAGAAGAGGTCAGACTTTAGTTGCATCTAACGAGTGCCCCGAATAGCCTGTAATTTGTGCCAAATTGTAACATTTAATCATAAATAAACAATAAACTTTGTTTGGCTATTAATTAACACGATGTAAAAGAGTAAGAGCAGCAATTCAAACGGCATTTTGTTTCCCCAGCCGATTTATAATTTAATTTTTTGAAATTAATTAAACACAGTATTCGCTATTAAATGAGCTCCATCTGTTTCAATAAAGCTTTCAGTATGGAAAAACATGCATTATGCTGTAATGAAAAACAGCTGATCGATCACTCATGCACCCAAAAATCAATTTGGGAAACTGCTCTAAAATGCCTTCACTCTAACAGTGGTGATGTCAATACACACACTGACTGAGCTGAGAATGGGTGCTCACATAAGGCTAATAATGACTCCATCATCAAATAAGCTTTTTTTGACCCTATCATCCCCTTAAACAAATATTAGCATCATTAGTTGGGTATATATACCTCACACCCGCCTCTATGGACCTGCACATGATCTCAGACTAAGATGAAGGTGCAGCCTTCAAGGTCTGAGCCGTCCATTTTTCTACATATAAATTTGACAGTGACGTAGATTTCAGCTTGTGTGGTGCATGTTTGTGTATACATGTGTTAGCGCAGCTGGCCTCCAGTTAATGCCCACTCTGTTGTCCCAGTTAGCTGGGCTATCAACCCACATGACATGGTGGGCCTGAGTTGATTCCCCAGTGTTGAGATGTTTTTACGCTTCACGCTTCAATGCATTCACACAAAAGGCTTGGCCTCATAACCCATAAGCCCGATAATCCAGTCTGTAAACATTCAAGGGATGCCCACTTTTACCATAAATGCCCATGCTTGGTTACACTGTGGAGACCACCACATGCTGGCCAGGTTACTACAATTCTAGTGATATTGCATGCGATAGAATTTATTTTATTAAACTGAATAAAGTCTGTTGACAATTTATCATCCCGTGAGTCAAGAGGAATGACGATCCATCAGATCAATTTCGACTATCGCTGACCAACTCAGCTAAAATCCCTTTGCCATTATTGTGCAGCTCATCTGTGGAAATGCCCTGCAGGAGGATATAGTCTTTCCCTTGCATACCAAAAGCAGCATTGCAGCTTCATGTTCACTGTAAATCATGCGACCATGTGAGAGACTGACTTTACTGACCCCCAGGACCTCTTTCCACCAACCCCCACCCGAACCGAAAGGAATAAAAAAACAAAACAAAAGGAGACCTGGTGCAAAGCCACGGAAACTGTCATGACATCCAGGAATAGCAACATGCACAGAGTAACACGCATAAACACCCTGATGTAATTAGAGACGCATGACTGCCCTGACAGCCATCATTTTGTCAGAAAGTAATGTCTCCTGATGAACATTTTGAATAACTTATCATATGCCTAACGACGAGTAGTGAATCACTCGAGTCAGAATCACTTTGGCAGCATCATCTTTTAAGATGCTCAGAATTTGCATCAATTGCATCAAGTAAGAGGAGAAGAAAACATAAAGCCACTTACCCAGAAGATGAGATTGAAGATGAACATCATATACTTCAAGCAGCAGAGGCAGCCTCTTGCCATGTTGCACTTCTTAAATTCTAAAAGGAACACAAAGGATAGATCCAGGTAAAAGACTATGTATTTGCTGCCTTTGGGTGAGCTGTACTTGTTGTTAGTCTTGTCTCCCGCGCTGGCGTCAGCCGCAGCTCCGGTCTGCCCCTGCTGCGTGTTTTTGCGTGGCCCCGTGGAGCCGTAGAAAGCGCCGGCAGTGAAGCCGCGGCCACCGAAAGGGCGGCCAGACGTGGAGGCTTGAGCAAAATCGGATTCGCGGCTGTCTACGGAAGGGCTACGGTGAATGGCTGACTCCTCACTGCTGGACTTCTCCATACTCTAGGGCTGCAGCTGCTGATGAGGGGCTCTCTGACACACAGTCTACCATAGTCTCAGAGATGACAGGACAGAACAACTTGCCCTCCAAATCTTCACTGCTTCACCTTCTGAAGCAATAAAGGATAAAATCCACACAGCAACACTACATCCACCTGAAACCCCGGATGGATGAAAAGGTCTCCTGTGTAGAGCTGAACTGCTCAGGCACCTCTGGCAGGTTTAAGTGTCCTCTGCTTGGTGAAGCTCTCTTGCTGTGATAATCCTAAAGTAGAAGTGCAGAAGGTTCCCGTGAGGAGCATTACCCTCGCCTTATGACAGGACTGTCTTTCTGTGAAGAAGTTAAAGCACTTGTTCTATCCTCTCCTGTAATATCACTCTCCTCCTGCGCGTCTTAATGCTGCGCCCGGCTGCTGCGGTGGGAGTGAAACCCCCGAGAGTCTCAGCTGCTCCACTTCCACGTTCTCTTGCTGACCTGGTAACTTTGACTCCCCCTGTCCCTCCTCTCCTCTTTCCACTGCCCCGTGCCTGTTCAGTCCTCTTGTCTATGTGTGCTGATGCTCTTCCCTGGGTCTATCTCACTCTCTGTTTCTTTCTGATTGTGCCAGTATCGCTCTTTCTCTTTCCGAGTGTGCCCGTCTACTCTAGTGTACCATTCTTTGCTCAGCAGCTCAGCCCCTCTGCTCTGCCTGTGCTCTGCTCTCCCAATAGGAGTGCACTGGCTGATGTGCTATTATCGGCAGACGCAACTAACGGGCATTCCCTATCTCCCAACAAGAGCACTCACCTCCTCCCCCAATTCTCTCTCCCTCCCTCTTGCTTCCTCCTCCTCTCTCTCTCTCTCTCTGCTCATTCAGTCCCTTCCCACTGCTGAGCAGGCAACCAATGCAGCAGCTGCAGCCAGACCGCAGCTCCTCCCCTCCACTCCCCGCGTCTTTATTAAGCCCATCACTGTGGCTGCTTTGACTAAACATGTTCAGCAGTTTCATATCCATCAGGGGAATTGAGAGGCCATAGATAACAACAACAAAATAAACACACACACACACACACGCAGAAATCAAACATGAAGATAATTGCAGATGAGTAAGGAGTTGTGGAGCAGCAGGGTTAAGGGATGTGAGGTGGAAATTTCTGGCAGTCTCTTTTGCATATGAAAAGCTTCGCTCGTCAGTATGCTGATGACACTGACACCTGTGATTTCACACATACCAGAGAAGCTTCTCATTCTGCTTTAATCTGTAACTTTACTCATTAACGTTGCCATAAATAAACTGTAGTTAAATCTGACTGTGGGTTATTCACATATTTTTTTCTTTCTGAAAAAACTAGCTTGAAATAGCAGCCAGTCCCCACTGGAGTGATTATTGCATATCCCATGGGTGGTGGCGACAGTACTGGGGTCCAGTTTGATCATACTCTTACTCTGTTATTCGTCACTGCACTCCTCACGTCCATGTAAGGGGACGCCAATTATCTGGCAACATCCAGGCTCTGGAATTATGGCACCATCTCAAGCATGGAAAGAGGCTTTGAGACGGTGAACACTTTCCAATGCAAAGCCAGGGTGAAACGCACAAGAGCCCTGCTGACTCACACACTAAGCTAACAAGACATTATAAAGCTTCGATTAGAAAGTGTTCCACACAGCTAAAAGTTCGGGATTCTCTGCAGTAAATGGAGGGTAACTGACAATTATAA